CGGAAGAAACGCTCGACTGCGGCCAAGTTTTCCATATAATCCTTACAGACAAGTGACCGTAGTCTACGACAGTGAAGGAAATTTGTTCGCTATCTTCACAGCTTTCTGCAAAACATGTCCTCTGAAAATGGAAAATGTCACATAATAGGCCCACTATGCCTGCTGAGAACTGTTCAAAGATTCCACTTGATATACAGAGGATGGGATATTGAGAGCAGAGGGAACACGTAAAGCTAGTAAGCGCTTGAAAACGAAATGAAGATCTAAGAATTCGGAAAATAACATTCATCTAATCTCACAATGTAGTGGATGAGATTGAGTACGTGGCGCATTCTGGGGTAAGTTTTGAGGCCCTTCTTTGTGTGTAGCGGTTAGCCCGCATAAGCGGGATTATATACACATCACATGCGAGCAACTACTTTTTGAGATGAAATCGAGTGCATGGCGCATTCCGAAATCAAGCTTTCTGAAAATATTTTAGCACCATCTTGTAGCGCTTGAAGAGCTGAGTTCAACGGTGTTTTCCGTTTCTGGAATACTTCACTCTGACCGAGTTATAACGAATTCACGAAATTAACGAGGATTCGCGTTATTCGCGTGAATTTTCGATTTCAAACGGCGAGTACTGTACTTTGACGCGCGGTAGCGAGCGGAGCCAAACTCATTAAACCGCTCAACTTTAGGATTTGCGAAAGTGTGAATGTAAAGCAAAGATAAGCATCAGATCTCACTTTTTATAAGGAGCATATTTCATTTTCATTCTAAGGCTAACAGCAAAACCCTAATCACCGCTAAATTGTCAGGATTGTAAAGGATGGAAGGGGAAATCATTAACCTGTTCATTCAATCGTATAATTTTAAGTATTTCAGGCCGATACGGAGCGATGGAGCGTGCCCAACCCTGACTCATACAATCGGTATGTCTTGTCGGCCGTATGCTATGCTTCCCGAAGGGGTTAGGGGACGAAAATTCCTTTAAATTTTCTCTGTCTTCCCAACTGGGATTGCCCTGATAAAGGGCCTACATTTAATGTATGTATGTAGGTTAAAGTAAACATGCACTGAAAATGAAGAAACTACATCGTTCAAAACAAATAAATTTAAAGGAAACTTTGCGTCACCTAGCTTCGGGGAAGCATAGCATACGGCCCTGATAACGAACATTGCTCCGTTTTCAGCACGGGTAGACCCAGATGCTGGGCGGAGTTCTCTAAAATCAGACTCAGTTGTGCACCTGTGTCAAAAAGAAAGAGCGCCCTATGGTACTGTTTGAAGAATAGTTCCATACCAATCCTTCTGCCGTCATGAGCACAACTTGTTCTCCTGCGGAGATAGTGCAATATTGCGCTGGAATGTGTTGCTTACGGAAAGCTGCAGACGACACATTAGTGGATGTGCTAGGGAAGGCGTAAGATTGGTAGGTTCGCTGGTATTCTTTTAAATTGTCGCTTCCGAGGGTTATCGATAAACTTGCAAAGAGTTTTGCGCAAACTGTCTTTTATTTCCTTGACTTTTGTCTGTGCGATTCTCACTGTTGCTTCTGTATGCAAAGCGTTTTGTCGTGCAATTTACCACAGCGCTTGCAAATTGGGACGTCTGCAGTCGTTGCTTTTGTGTTCCCCAGAAAAACATTTCCAGCAAAGATTCTTTTCGATGGCAATTTTTTGGCGTTCGCGTGCTTCCTTGACATTGCGGCATCTGTGGTTAGTTCTGTCACACAAGTTGCAGATGGTTCTGAGAATCGCTTTCTGTGTCTGCAGGTTCTCGTCTTTGCGCTCTAGTTCGTTAGGCGCTCATTAATGTACGCCTACCTCATAATGACCATTCGAGTTGATCCAATGTTTCGCCAACCGTATAAGTTTCACGGGCCTAATTTTCACGTAAGAATTCCTCTGCGATTTGACGCGGAAGCTTTTGGAGTATTGTCTCAATCCACATAGGGTCACAAATGTTCACTACCGCATAACCTGAAGACGTCATTTCATTAACGAGGGCTCTTATGTTGTCAAATACCGCTTCACACGATTTGGCGTTGTTCTTTGCCGCGGGTAAGGAGGAAAGTCTTTTTATGACATTCGCACGGACATTCGTTACATTGCTGTATTTTTTCAGTATGGTGTCAACATCCATTGGTAATTGGCCGGAACCATTTGTATTCCTTTGATGGTATCGGCAGCTTTTCCAACGAGACTTTCTTTCAAAAGAATTATTTTCTCCATAGTATTCAATGAAGAATTCTTGTGAACCATCGCGTTATATATGGCCCAGTACTCCTGAAAATTTGAAATTTCCCCGAAAAAATGAGGGATGGTCACAGTAGGAGGCTGATAGAATTAGATTCCGTCTGTTTGTGCTGGTCATAGTAGCTGTCATAGGCATCGGCACCTTTTCAGTATCTGTCGTATCTATTATAGTTGTGTTGGTATCAACGCTTGGTCTCCGCTACAGGAAGCGCCTGTTGTGACTGTCTCTTTTTTGGCGGCAGGTCCGTCGTCGCTTGTTTGAATGCGTTCTGACACATGCTCGGACTTTCATCTGATGCAGCTGCGCCAGTTACGGTATCGAACGGCTCTTTTTCGGGCGTTTTTACACTCGAACCCTTGCCTGCTCGCATTTTACTTCTGCAAGTCGAGTTTTTAATGCTGTTAAAATTGCGTCTGCTTCGCTCAGTACTTCGTTATAATGTCTCGGTTTCCATGGATTGAAACTCATCGAGGATCTCTTTACGATTCGACTTTTTTTTTCGGCAAATTCCTTTCGAACACTCTCGACTACTTCTAAGAGGTCGTTCCGAGTGTCGGTTATTATCGAAATAGCGTTTCCGATGGATGAAACTAAAGTGCCATTGCGTTCTACCATGTGCTGACTTTTAGAGCGTCAGCGCGGTGCTCTCTCTTGGAATCGGCTGTGTGGCGGGTTGAAAATAACCTGGCCACTGACCTGGTTCGTCAGTTCGGCAGAAATGCAAGGACTGACAAACGGGCGACACGTTTAGTTCGTGTTTGCCGATGCACCAATGCGCGCCACTGTGATTGTGACGCCACAGGTGTTACACCCAGCTGTCGGTGCCCGTATAATACTTTTGAACAAATTCGACGCAACAGCGAATATGTCTTGCCGCTGATGACACCACACATCACAATATCAAGCGCATCTGGCAGCCTATTCGCAGAATACAACAAAGGGGAGACAACAGTAGCAATTGTTTCCAACAGGAAAATAGAAACTGCCCACCTGAACATCAGCTCAAATTGTGCGATAAACGCGAAAAATCTGTCGGGGTGCACGGCAGTTCAGTCGAAATTTCCAGTCAAGCAGAGACAAGATCATGGGCGACTATCTCTTGCGCACATAACGTTTTCTCCATAGAATGTAGCCCAGATAATACGACGACAAAGGTGAAATTAGTCTTTGAAAACGCCGTGATAGATACCTATTGGCTACACCGTTTGCGGTGGCAACAACGTTTCGGCGAAAGTGAGTGGTATCCTCCACTACGTCACACATACGGAAGAAAGTGACGTATTCCTCTCAAACATGCAACAACACATCCCCCAACTCGACTGGTTAAGTGAAGCCAAGTTGCCGGACTTGTCTCCTATGTGGATGGTTTTTTTCAGGCACTGGAAAGTAACCCTTGCAGCTGCAGTTGCTTTGGCCTTGATGATATTGCTTACCTATCTCTTCGGACCAGCCATAATTTTAGCTTTATTGAAGCTAATAGCAGAGACCGTGCCTCATTTGGTAGAATTCATGGCGTTCATCGCAAAACTGATAGTATCATTGCTCGTGAGTACCGTACGCTGGCTAGCGGAAAAGCGGCAGCAATAAAAAAGGGTGCCAGCCGACAAAACATGAAGCCGCAGCTGCGGTTCCCACACTTTTTTCTGCTCAAATCATGTCTACGAAATCTAGAGTCATTCAATCAGCATACATGGCCGACGACCTCGACGAGGAGATACGTCTCATGGAATTCACGCAAGCTGCTACATTAGAAGCTATTGGTAACACTCTTCAAACCCTTACTAATCGGCTTGAATCACTGTATTCGCTACCGCTGAAATGAGAGCTGAAATTGCCATTTTGCTGGAGCGTACCGCTCCCAAATCCACCTGTATTTTCTGCACCGTAGCCGAAAACGTTGACGGGCATCACACTGGTAGATGTCATCGGTATTCCGACCCAGTAAGTCGTGCAATGCGAGTGGCAGAGCTGCGACTCTGCAGTCGGTGCCTACGTGCCGACCACGGTGCTGCACTATGCACTGTTTCTTGCAGCTTCTGCCGTGGAAGCCACAACACTGTTCTTTGTTCTGGCCCCCCACTAAAGAAGCGCAAGAACTGACTTCACGGCCCCTATTCTGCCACTCGTCATATCACCTACTTATCACGCCGCCACGTTGAGTTCCGCCGTTACCCCTCCCATTCTTCACCTGTATCCCGCTTCTAGTATTCGTACCGCAGTCGTCTCCGTCTACGTCATGGTATTACTCTGCTCTCGAGCCGTCTATTGATGGATTTCGTCTTTTTCTGCCTCCCGCTGAGTCATCAAACTCTTATTCCTTCTACTTCTACCGCGCTGTATTCATGCCATCAAGTGCTGGTCAATCGACATCGCGTGGTTTTCTCTCTGATCGGGTATGGCTCAACGACGCGTTCATTGGCACCAACAACATCAGTCGAGGAGCAAGTGATACTATGTTTTAGTTGCATATGCTTGTAATTGTTGTTTATCAAAAATGGGCCGCGCCGGGCGCGGTGCTTCATGCGATTACAAGTCGTCTGTGCGATGACGCGACCCTCAAGCACCGCCCCGCCCGACCCTCATTCTTTTCGCGTGCAGCTTGTAGGATTGCTTGGTTATCGCTTCATAAACGTGCTTGATACATTTTGTACTGAACCACCCTATACAACCATCGCGGGGCAGCACAGAGCGTAATCTCATGGCAGCATAGAGCATAAAACGCTCCTTTTCCTTGAACAGGCTAACTCGGAGCGCATCAAAACGCTCACGACGAGGTTCCTCAAGATCTATGAGCCGAACGTATTCCTTTGTACCATCTCGTCGGCCATAAACCTCACGACCAAAAATGGGCTGTGGCGTCGTCCCTCGCGCAAATGGAGCACCGTCCTCTTGGACGAAGCTTCGATGATCCCGGAAGCCACCCTCATTGGTCTTTTCTCGAGGTTCCCGGACGCTACATATACGCTCGTCGGCGACAGCAACCAATTGCCACCCTACATCGGCACACAAAGGGCACCGCTCGCGGTCACCCTTTGCTCGCGATCCGTATGGACGTCGCCCGACGCGTTGGCAATCCCCCAACGTGCAAGATCAGCACCGTGTATCGACCGCACCCCAACATGATGGCGCTCAACTCGCATATTTTCTACAACAACGAGTTGGTTTGCGGAACTCCCAAGGAGGCCCGCCTCGCGCTCCTCAACCGGGTGTGGATGCCGAATCCGGACTTCGCTTTTATCAACATCATCGGCGAATCGGTACAGTCGGTGACGGGATCCCAGAGCAACCCGGTCGAAGCTCGCGCAGTTGCCGTGATAGTACGACTCCTTTTAGCGTCGTCTATCCATGGTCATCTGCCTCTACCGCGACCAGCTTTACCTGTGCGAGTCCGCACTCAAAGGGTCCAACGTTGCGGTCAAGAACCGTGGATAGCGCGCAAGGTTCAGAAAAATCTGTCGTCATCGTGTGCACGACGCGCACCCATATCAACCCTAAGCGCAATCTCTCCTTCTTTGCAGATCCCAAGCGCCTCAATGTCGCCCTCTCCAGAGCCCGCGACGGTATGTTTATCCTGGGTTCGGTTGTGCACCTCGAGCTCTGTCCTCTCTGGGGGGACATCATCCGCTGGTGCCGGGAAAACCACGTACTCACGTACCTGGAAGCTTTCCGCGAGCGCACGGCTTCCTTCCAAAAGAAGTGAAGTCCGAGGTCGGACTTTTGCAAAGGGGGCGATGTAAAGGATGGAAGGGGAAATCATTAAGCTGTTTATTCAATCATATAATTTCAAAGTATTTCAGGCCGACACGGAGCGATGGAGCGTGCCCAACCCTGACTCATACAATCGGTATGTCTTGTCGACCCTCAAGATTGTTTTTGTTCGGGCTTTTTCCTCGGTTTCTTTTTTGTTCAGGCTTTTTCCTCGGTTTTTCTTTTTCAGACGATGAAGCGGAGATAGCGATGGGACCCGAATAAAAGCCGTGGACGGGACGATTCAAGGCTCTTGGCTCGACCTCGACGATCGAGGACAGACGGATTCGCCTGACGTCACGATTCCGACTTCCTACTCCACCTACCGTTCGAACCGGGGATGCGCCATGCCCCCGTCGACCCTCGTCGATTGGTCGATCCGAACCCCGCTGCTGATCTGGAATGTTCCCCCTACTTATTACTGTGTATTGTTGTATCGCTGAACATGTGCATTATTTCTCGGAGGATCTCGTTCCAGTGTATAACTTCGTATT